ATCTTTAAACTGTTTTATATTATCAAGCTTATTTACTATTAGAAGTAAGTGGGAGAGACTCGCATATAAGGAAATGCAGTGAGGGTACCACAGAACTACAGCTATCACCACCTCTTGCTCTCTGGCTCTTCATGTCAAAGGGTTAATAGACAAAGAAAGGTATTTTCATACTGGCAGGGTTATTAGTACCTAGGATTGTTACTAAATTATAGAACAAGGGAGGAGTATTTCTAAACCCTGAAACATTCACTGAGATGCCTCTATTCTTCCATGCCTGATAACAGCACCGAAAAAAAAATTTCAGAAGCACCCTCAGGCTGTCACAGACAAGCTCATCAAGAACTTTGGTTTTTCAAGAAACAGCTTGTGTCATCTGAAGTACTCACTAAGGGTGAGGGAAATCTAGAATAGGTGGTGAAAACACAGAAGGGACCTGATGAGAATTCATTATGGCCTGTGGGCAGGGGTGCATGCCAGCTGCTTGATGCACTAATTCTCTTTCCTTCCTTTCCTTTGCAAGTTAGCAACAAAATATGACATTTAAAAATTGGTGGCAGGATGGATTTTATATCGTGCAAAATAGATCTGAAGATACAGGGGACATGGGCTGGGGATTTAGCTCAGCGGCATAAGTGCCTGTCTGGGAAGCATGAGGTCATGAGTTCAATCCCCAGTACCACACACACACACACACACACACACACACACACACACACAAGATACAGGGGACAGGCAGCAGAAGACAGTGCAGTGTCCGTGGGTTTCCTTCCCTTTCAGCTGAGGTGGTGCTGGACAGTTCCATGCACCCCAGGGAACTTGGGAACCCCTGCTTGCTCCAAAGACACAGATTCAGGAAGTCCCCACTGTGACAAACAAGGGAGGAGATGCCCTGGGTGACCCCAGCCACAGATGGTGGGGAAATTAGTGGCCCTTTGTCCTTGGGAAGGAACATTCTGACCTGTGTCTCACAGGGTTCCTCAGACAGTCACTACTGGAACTGAGCTCTAACTGGCCAGTGTGGCAGCCCGTTTAAATAATGGATCTTTGGTGTTTTTTCTCCATGTGTCTCAGCTTTGCGCTCCCCAAGGTCGCCTACCCCGGAGAGTACCTGCTGCAACCCCCACTTTCAGAGAAATAAACCAGGGAGACGCTGCTTGGTGGTGATGTTTACAGCAAAGGATCTCTTCGTCGATACAGTAAAGCTAATACCAATGAGGGAACTGAAGCTAACTAAAAACTGGAAATAAACATTTGTAGTACATGTATTAAGTATCAAGCATTTTAGAAGGTATTCAATACAGACATCTGGACAAAAACATTTATATAAATAAACTCACACCCTCCATAGGCTTATCTTACACACCAGACATAGGGGACATGTAGAGAGGTAGAAGTGAGGGCTAGAAAATGACTGTGACAAAGTTCTGTCCTAAAATATGAAATAATTCACCATATGTGATATGTAGGAAATGTAAGACACCCTCAAGCTCATCTAGTTTAATGTCTTTGTTTGTGTGTGTGTGTGTGTGTGTGTGTGTGTGTGTGTGTGTGTGTAAGGAAAAAGAAGTAGCTTAGTGGTGCAATCAGGGCTAAAATTTCAAGATTCTGCTACTATTTTCCATTATCCTTAGAGAACTGAGCCAACAAAAAAGTTGAATTTGAAAAACATTTAACTCAAAATACTTCCATATTTTCATGAAACTGCCCCCAAATATGCTTCCACTGAAGTCCAGTTGGCTTGCAGCCTCTATAGTGACCTCATGCTATCAGAACTGCTGTAGGGCCTGACATCCTGTCCCAGTGTTGGAGAGTCCCCAGATTTGTGACACGGCTGTGCCTTGGAGAGCCCTTGACACAGCCATGAGTGGCTTTTGCAGATGCTTAGTGCAGGGATTTGGTAGGTTTTGGATGTCATTCTCAGTTGATAATTTAACTTAATCCTTAGATTCTCCTGACCCAAATGAGAAGAAGCAGAAGACAAAAAGCAGAGAGAACGTTTCCCCAGCTTCTCTTTCCTTCAGACAATGATGCCCACACATCCTTCTCAGCCAGGTACAACCTCAGGTAGGAAACAACTTCATGTCCACGAAGAACACCACCAGTGAGTGCTTGCTGGTTGGTGGGGTAGCACTCTCAGATTGTCCAGTTTCTAGGACAGATTTCTCATAAGTAGCAAGGGCACCTTCCATTGATGAAAACAGTGTTCATTTTATTGCGCTATAAACTCTTTAACATATAACTTACCATTTAAAGTGTGATTCAAGTACATTAAGGACATTCAATTGCTAGGCAACCATAACCACTATCAATCTCCAAAACTTCATCTGCCCAAACTGGAAAAGCTGTCCTCATTAGGTGCTACTTCCCATTCCCTCTAGTGGCCACCATTTCATCCGACTGTATGAGATTGACCTTTCAAGGTGCCCCATCCAAAGTGGTGACTGACTTGTTCACTTAACAAGATGGTCCTGAGGTTTGTCCCTGTAGCGTGTGTTCACCTTTTTAAGGTGAATGTCCTGTTTGCCCATCTCTGTCGCTGGACACTTGGGTGGCTTCTGTTTCTTCGCTAGGTGAGTGATGCAGCTGGGAGAGTGCCGTACAAATGTATTTCAGCCCCTGCTTCCCAATATTTTGGGTACACATCTAGAAATAGAACTGCTGTGTACGTTATTTTGCATTCCAACCAATCATGCACAAGAGTCTCTATTTTTCCATGTTACTCTTATTATTTTCCAGTTTTGGTTTGTTTGGTTATTTGATAGCTGCTACCCTAATGTATATGAAGTGGCATCTTGTGGCTTTGATTTGGATTTACTAGTAATTTTTGATATAAAACATTTTTTAAAGAGCATTTATCTTCTTTGGAGAAAAAGTTTTTTGCCCATTTTTAAATCAAGTTGTTTTTTGCTATTGAGTTTTAAGAGTTCTTTATTTTTCCAGATATTAATTTCATCAGATATATGATTTGCAAATATTTTCTCACATTTTCACCCTTTTGAAGCAAAACATTTTTAATTTTGATGAAATCCAACTTAATTTTTCTTGCTACCTTGTTTTTGGCTTGCTAAAATTTCAATTGATTTACTTATTTTTGTGACAGGTTCTTGCTTTATTGTATATGAGCTTGGTCAATAGACACAGCCACCATGTTGAAAGGTCCTGCAACTGTGAGTGCAGGAAGCATCTCTGAAGCTGTGGGCCCAGGGTAACTCCCCTTTCAGGATTATTTAACACCTTCCTCATCAGTTGCACCTTATTCTAGCCCCTCCCCACTACTAACGTCTTTAGAACTTACCACAGTGGACTCACAGAGCTCCGGGAACTCAATAGGTATTCAATAAATCTTTCTGCATAAGTAATCTTATGATGGAAAGAGATACTACATAAATATATATATTTTTTTTTTTGGTACCAGAGATTGAACTCATGACCGTGTGCTTACTAGGCAAGCACTTTGAGCCACTGAGCTAAATCCTCAGCCCTGAAATAAAGATTTCTTGCCTAGTTAGATTCTCTCCTAAGATGGTAGGATTCTTCTTTATATTTCTATATATTATTTATAATTAAATTATAATTATAATTAAATTCTATATCAAATGACCTGTTTTGTCCATTTGCACCGGGACAAACATTAAATTCATTAAATGACACTGGGTGTCTTTGAAGCCTGGAATTTAGGAAAAGGTTCCCCTTGGGCTTTGCCTTATAGCAATGGCAGAAACTTGTACAATGGCACTCAGGGTGAATTCCTGGTGTCCTGAAGCCACTTCGTCTGACTTCCAAGTCAGTGTTGGAGGGGCTGAGGTCCTGCTTTTTTCAGAGGAAGCACCTAAAGGATGAACAGGATCAGTGGCTCAGCTGAGGCCCACACTGGGGCCCTCACTTTCGGTTCTAGTTTTTTTCTAGCATATCATCTTCTTTACCTCCTGGCCACCTAAGTCTACTGAAACAGCAAGTGTTTGGACATATTTCTGTTTGTAATGCAAGGAACATGAGAATTCAAAAAAGATCATGAACCTTTGGATAGAATTTGATGAGATAACACTAGCTCCCAATTCTCTTTAATTTCATTTGCTCAAGTTTAAGAGGGAAACAAAATTTGCATATTTGTTTCTGGCCATCTGCTCCGTTCAGAACTTTAGAACTTGGCAACTTAATTTTTGGACGTCTATTAGAGCAGACTGAATACCTAGCAGCTAGAAAAGGCTAAGTCCAGGGCTCCTTCCTGGATGTCAACAGACCTCAAAGTATTTCAGGATCCTCTGCAACCTTGACCTTGTTTAGGTTTTGTCACATTTGGATGTTTTATGTCAATATGACCTTCAATTTAATGTGTTAAAACTTTCAATTTATTTGATGTCTATTTTCAGGCTAAAGAGAAATTTCACGAAAAGGGAATTCAGTTCTGCAGAACTGCACGGAGAACAGATTTTTAAAACAGTGCTATTCAACATTTTAAAGTTTGTATTTATATTGCCCTAACATGACTCATTTACTTCAACACAGGATACAAATTTTTTTCTTTCTTAAATCGGTTGACTTGCCCGAACAGAAATGCTAAATGTCAGTAGGAAACAACACGTTGGGAAGGTGGAAAAGTGCAAGGACTGACACGTTGTGTCACAGCCTTACGTCCTGAAGAAGGATGCCTCTATTCCACCTCTTGTCTTCCCTACTGTGGGGCCGCCGCAGCCGCGGTGCAGGTGCCTGGGGACGTTCAGGACCCCGGCCCCGGGGTGCCGCGGGGCAGGGCCGCTCTTCTGGGGCAGCCACTCTGCCGGTGCACAGGAGGGCCGCGGGCGTCCCGCTATAACCTTCTTCTCCGGACTAATTTCACTCTGGCCAGGGCCGCGGGTGGAAGCATCAGGCAGGGACAGGCGGGGCCTAGAGGTGGGAGGCGGAGCCTAAAACGGGGCGGGGGAAATGGGCGGGGAGGGACCCCGGGAGGCGGGGCGATGTCTGGTGGGGGCGGGGCCTGGCGGTGGGCCCTGGCGGCGGGGAAGTGACGTCGCCCGCACACTCTCCGCGGGCCCTCGCTGCGCCTGGTAACGGCCGTCGCGTCTCTGCGCCGGGTCCCCGCCTCCTCGCCTCCTGCTCCTCGCTTCCCGCCTCCCCGCCACCCCGCTTTCCCACCGTCGCAGCAACCGCCGAGGGGGGTCCCCGCCTCGTCCGTAGCAGGACCTGGCGCGGGCTGAGGGGCGGCCTGGCCCCCGGCCTGCGCCTCGCGCCTTGTCCGAAGGGGCCTGGGGGCCGCGGGAAGATGGCGACCCCGGGCGCGGGCTGGCAGCCTCACCTTGGCGCGGCCCGCTGTGCCCCGCCGCCGGGCGCCCATAGCCTGGAGCTCGGCGCCGACATGCACCTGCGGATGAGCAAGAAGATCGCGCAGCTCACCAAGGTGGGTGCAGGCGCAGGGAGCGCCCCGGGTGGGCGGGAGTGAAGGGAGCGCCGAAGTGGAGGGGATCAAAGGGGACCCCGGGGTGGGCGCGGGCACAGGCGTCCTGGATGGGCAGGTGTGAAAGGGGCGCCGAAGTGGCGGGGGTTGAAGGGGACCCCAGGTTGGAGGGGACACCGTAGGGCCTGCATCCCTTGCACCCCAGCGCCCGCCGTCTCTTCGCGCACGACCCTGATCAATGCGAGATGCTCGGTGGGGCCGGTTACGGTGGGGGTGAGCATCCAGGTGATGAGGGGAGCACAAGAGGTGGACACTCTACAGGCCGTGTGAGGTCTGAGGAGACATTGTAGACAAGACTTCGAGGGTTGCAGGTGAGTCCGCTGCGTTGGCACTTGGTGAGACGTTTCAGTTATTAAAAGTCAGCATTCAAAGAGGAAACAGCTGGCAGAATTGTAATCATTATGCTCTGCAGACCTGTACTACTAAAGATGTTGGCCATCCGTGGTTTAGGTAGTTGGGGATGGCCGCTAAGCTAAGTTACTGAGCTCTTTTTCTTATTTGGTAAATGATGGTCATAGAAGGAGTTGGTACCTGTGAAGCTAGAGCAGTTCAAGTCAGGTCTCCTGTTTTGTTGTCACTTATAGTTAAGTGATGCCTGTCCACGGGAAGGAAGAACCCCCGGCTTTGGAAGTCATTCGAGGTGAGACTGCTTGGCAGCAGGGTTTGTGTGCTCCAGGAAGACAGTGAGGCAGGCCTGTGCGAGATAACTGCTCTGAAATTCTCAGGCCATAGTGCCTGTGGACTCTGAGAGTAAGCTAATTGGAATTGCATTCCAATTGAAAGAGAAAAGACAGGAAATGGGAAGTAACAGGGCAGGGCTGAAAAGTGCCAGGACAGCTAGAAGAGAAAAAGCAGAGGTGCAGGAGGACAGCAGGAAAACTCAGCTGTGCAAAGCACGGCAGTGTTCTGTGAAGCTTTCCTGCTCAACACTGGCTCAGGTCACTGTGCGTCAGGATTTGCTATTTCCTCTCATGACAGGGTGCCCACACTCGGGGAAAGGCAGGTGCAAGAAGGAACCATGGCAGTGTACACACACACAGGTGGACAGCCAGCCTCCTGCAGCAGTGCCTGTGTCCCCAGGTGTCCACACACCTGTGGTCCTCTGTAGATGGTAGCCCTCTGGAGCCTTGTAAGCCCGGAGAACACTCACAGATGCAAGTGGGACAGTGTACTGTCTGACAAGAGCTATTTGTCTTCACCAAACCTTTTTTCTTTCTACTTAACTATATTCAATTTCCTGTTCCTTTATTAGAAGAAAACAGTGGGGCACTGCTGATAGGTGGGTTTCAGGGCCACTGTGGTCACTTCTCTCTGCCCTCTTCACCTCTCTCCTACCACCTGTGCTCCTTGCTTCCCCGAGTGTTGTGTGTGATCTCAGTAGTGTTTCCGGAACTCAGGTGTCTTGTTTGTAGTTCTGGCTTCTAAATGCTGTCACCACCTGGTCTGTGTCTAAGTGCTTCAAGCGTTTAATCCCTTATACTAAGGATTCCGTGGTCGCACTGTTGACTTTTTGGTCAGCTAATGCCTCCAAGCTGGGCTGCTGGTGTAACTTAGGGGACAGTTAGCAGCGTCCCTGCATGGTGCTGTGGGTGCCGGTAGCTGCCCTCACATCCACACAGTTGTGACACAAACGTGGCTGCAGACCTGGCCAGGCGTTCTCCAGGCAGGGAGGGTGACGAAGTCACACCAGATAAGGATGGCTATGATGCCCCTATGTTTACAGAGATGAAGCCTGAAATTGAACAGTCCAGTGATGGGATTCTTTTGCATCCAGTTCCTTTAGTTTCTGAAAACATAGAGTGAACCCTCCATCCCTTATGTACTGTTTACAGTCACATACACTTGTAAATACTGTACTGTAAGTTGGCATTATGAATATGTGTGTGTGTGTGTGTGTGTGTGTGTGTGTGTGTGTGTGTGTTTTATCGGTACCAGGGATTGAACTCAAGATTGCCTGCTTGCAAGGCAGGCGCTTATGCCGCTGAGCTAAATCCCCAGCCCCTCTGAATCAGATTTTTGATAACAGTGAAACCAATGTGCCTCTCCCATTTGCTACCCTAATGTTCTAGGTTTGTAGATCATCTGTTTTATAATTTTGGCTTGATAACTTTGTAACGGAGGGGTGTGTGTGTGTGTTCTTATATAAATGACATATTTTCATGTTTCCCAGGAGCAACACCAGTTTAGATTGCTGACAGCCTCCAGCTTACAACATGATTGTCAGCTCATCCATCATAACCTTGTTTTCTATGCATTTCTGTTGGAACCACCTTATTTATTTTATTTTTTATTTTAAAGAGAATAAAACCAAACAAAACAGAATAAAGCCAGTCAAAACAAAACAGTGAAAATGATACAAGACTTCAAAACAAGTTAATAGGAAATCAATAATAGTAACCATAATGCCTCTGTCTTCAAAATAGCTGCCCATGCCATCACATAATAAAATCAAATGAAACAAAACCAAATAAAACCAGCCAAAACAAAACAATGACAGTGACATAGGACAAAATAGCTGCCCATGCCATCACACAATAAAATCAAATGAAACAAAACCAAATAAAACCACCCAAAACAAAACAATGACAATGACATAGGACTTTAAAACAAGATAATAGAGAAAAAACCATGGCTACCACCTTCAGAAGGAAATCCCCCCTAGTTGCTGTATTGCATATTGTTATCTAAATAGATGCTCAGGCTACCAGCTTTAGGCCTGCAAAGTTAGTCATACAATATAGGCATTAAGTTGTTTTTTTACTTCAGTGGCCACTATTTCAGCCCGTGTTTCTGGGAATCAGCCAGTTGCTGGGTGGGGGGCAGGGTCAGCACTTCTTGTCTCCCAGTCCACGCTCTGTCTGACTCACAGGAAGGAGTTGGCGGCTGCTTGATTCTCTTCCTGGGATGCACAGCTGCTGCAGGCTCACAGGAAGGGATTAGCTTGGCCTACAACTGCTGCTGGCTCACAGGAAGGGGTTGGCTTCTTGGTTCTACTTCTGGAATGCGGGGTTGCCGTTGGCTAACAGGAAGGAGGTGACCTGGCCCATGACCCCACTGGTTTGCAAGAAGAGGTTGGCTGCTTCTTGATTCTTTTCCCAGGACATATGGCCATCACTGGCTCACAGGAAGGGGTTGGCCCGGTGCATGACCCCACTGGTTTGCAGAAAGGCTTTGGCTTCTTGGTTCTCTTCCCAGGACCCATGGCCATGGCTGGCTCACAGGAAGGGGTTGTCCTGGCTCATGACCACCGCTGGCTCATAGCAAGGGGTGGAACCACCTTATTTATATGTACTGTTGACTCATTAACAGAACTCACAGTAGCTTGTGTAGAGTGGGTGGACACTTGGCTGAGAGCAAACTAAGCATGGAGTCGGGCATAGCAAGGATGGAGTTGGTGGAGATGGAGGCGGAGCTTCCCTCTGTGTGTGTAGAGCACCTCTTGGGCTTGTAAGGCCTAGGTGACTGTGACTTAGTGCCACCCTGCACACCCCCACAGGGTTGTGACTGTCATTCTGATGGACTCCCTCAGCCCCCGCTGATGAGGGGAGTGAATGGCTGTGAATGCAAGAACACTTCTATGCTCATTGCCAGTCTCCTCACTGGCCCTGGGTAAAGTCCCATTGAAATTCTTTCCCAGTCAGAACTCGAATCTGCCACATTGCCCTGGTGTAGAAAAAGTCAAATGTGTAAATTATTCCAGAGCATGGAGGAAAAGCTTTCACAGTATAGTGCCTTTAAACAAAGTCTTATCTTCTATATTCATGATTTGCTTAAAATGTGTTTGTAGTTGCTTGCTTCCCACATAAATGGTCAGGGTGGGGGTTGTCTTTGTTCCATAAAGATAATCAGAGATCTTAATCTGATGCTGCTGCACATTTGCATGGATGTTTTTGGGTTAACCTCTTGCAACATGCAGCAACATTTTTGTAAAAGCACAGTTGTAGATCAAACACAGAACATTTCTGGAAGATGGTTGTTCTTACTGGTTTCTGTCCTGACCCAGGCCTTCCTTCAGTGACCTGCAGAGTGTGCAGTTTCAGCGTAGTGTGTGTCTGGCTGTTCCTTGTCCCAGTCACTAAGTGAGTGTAAACATTCTGATGAGAAGGGACACCGAAGAGTGCTTTGTATGCTCACGTAAACAGCGGGTGGCAAAGAAGTCGAGCCCTTACTCTAGTGCAGCTCTCAGGCCTTTGCGTACCCTCACACTTCACCCCCACTCAGTTTTGCTGTTTGCTTTCTTCCTACTCCTTGTCTTTGGAGCATTGCTAGAGAAAATTACAGACTATAGCAGTCATTCATGCACCCCAAAGCTGCCCACACCCTCATCCCTAGACCTGTGAGTGTGTTACATCCTGTCTGCAGATTTGATTTCATTCAGGATCTTGAGTTGTCCCTGATTATTGGGTAGGGAAACGTAGCCACAGAATCGCCCCCAGTGAAAGTGGGGCAGAAGAGTCAGCAGCAGAACAGGGGTGTGGAGCTCTGCTTGCCAGCTCTAGGTTTGGAGATGGAAGGGGCCATGTGCTTAGGAGCACAGGTAGCTTCTAGGAACACTTTCTCCTTAAGGGCCTCTAGAGTTCTGCACAGTGGAATGCTTTTCTGCTTTTGACCTCTAAGTTTGAAGGTTACGCCACTGACTTTGTGGTAAACGGTGGGGGGGGGGGAGGCAGAACAGTAGGAAGGACTTAGGCAGCTCTCATACAAGGACTTCTACAGTTGTCCATAAAAACATGAAGTCCAAGTTCAATCACTTAGCGTTGTTGATCTCTGGACAATTGTGTCGTCTTTTTCTGCACATATTAGGTGAACTGTGGTGTACTTTACTGAGATGACCAAGACTGTCAAGCTTACGCTGTTTGTCTGTAGTGATATTGGGGCCATTCATCCTTATGAGAACTTTCTGCCAGGTATGCAGTGCTGTATACCCATAATCCCAGCTACTT